GAGACAAATACTGTTTCCAGAGGGAGGTGGGAAGAGAAAAGAAGCAACCTCTGAAATTGATGGGAAACAGAAATGTGGAAAGCAACTTGGAATTCCAGTTGTGACTCAGTTTTGACCTAACTGATGGGGCTAGGGGCAGGAGAGAGTGGACAAGAGCAGTCACCACAAATCCAAAATAACCCTGCCTCCACACCCACCCTGATGGCAGGCAGCGATGCACCCACCCCGGCAGCTGGCAGGTAACAGGGGTCTGCTGCTAAGAATCAGCTCCCAGAGCTCCCACTGCTGATGGCTGCAGGAATGTGGGACTCCCAAAATTGTTACATGTAAATGCCCAGCTGCAGAGTGACACTTCTCTGCAGCTGCACAGTGCGTTAAAGGAACCCCCAAGCCAAGCCAGCAGCACACTGACACAGGAGAGCTCACTCAGCTGCAGACATATTAAACCATCTGCTAAAACAAATCCTTAAGCCTTTTGTATCGTACCTCACCGGTTGACTTATTCCTCTTTTGGGGATGTACACTTGAACCCTGAGGTCAGACAATGGCCTGCTCCATCTGCCTTTGTTCCCAAAACAAAAAAACCCAACCCACCAGCCAGAGCCTGCATTGTATGTTCCAGCTCTGGGAGGCTGATGGACTGATCCCCTGTGGTCAATACAGAGAGGAACACAAGGACCAGTGCAGCCCTGTCCTGTTTTCTCCTTCAACTGGGAGGAGCACAGAGCAGCAGGAATGAGCAAAGCCTAAAGGAGCACACATCAATATTAGTCATGGGAAGACAGGTCATTTACAAATGGTATCAGCAGTTACCACATCTCACTTTTCAGAACAGAACATGACAAGGAAGGCACATGCAAGAGAGCTGCACTAATCTAACACTGAGATAAGATTAAAACTAGGAGCAAAAAAATCTGAATATTTATGAGAACTTCATATTTCAGTCAGTCATGTTGTGACACGTGCATTTTGATGTTCAGGCACTAAAGCACAGCCAAAAAAGCACAGTGCTTGCCACTGGCAGGTGGCATGTGGACAGTCACAGGTAGGAGCTGCCCCAAACACCACTACTGTGTGTTTGCAATTATATCATTTAGTCTGACAAGGGACTTGATCTCTCCAAACAGACTCTTCTTTGTGAGTACAAAGGTACTGCAAGGAGGAGGAGACACTAAGAACTACAAGAACAGTAGGGCAATCAGTCATTTTCTCTCAAATTATATGGAAATATAAAAAAATGAAGCAGGAAGAAAATGGTACCTCTGTCAAGGGTCTTGGTCTTCTTTCTACAACAAATTCTGTGTGGCAGAGCTCACAGTAACTTGTGTTGGAGGAGGATAACCATTTTTCCAGGCAGCTCTTGTGCACGGTGCCCAGTGTTCCTGTGCAGTCACATGGGGAAAGCAGTCCCTCCCCATTTCCACCTTCATGACAGATTCGACAGATGGGACCATCACTAAAGAGGCAGAACGAGAGACAAACAGAATGAAATCACAGTCAGAGCAGGCAGAACAACACTGCCACAGGGTCTGGTCCCACCAAGCCCCAGAAAGCACAAGAACAGCAAACAGTGCGTGGCACAGCATGCCAGGAGCCTGCTGCAGAAAGAAATCAGTCTCAGGGGACGATGGAGATGCTCAGGACATTTTAGACCATTTAAAATCTGGAAGACCCATAACAAGAAGAGAAGATGGCACATCAGCCTGGCCAGCTCAGCTGGCTCCAGAAGTGACTGCAGCGCACGTCCCGCAGTCTTCAGCTCTGCCCACAGTGCGCAGGGGCTGATACCAGACCCAACACCAAGCCTGAAGCACTCGTGCAAATCCAGACACCCAAAGCAAAGCCAAATGACCCAGAGTAGTCACAGCACACCCTAGCCACCTGCAGCTACTCAAGAGGTTGGCACTCAGGTCACATTTACCAGATCACCTACCCACTCTCAGCCCACCTCGGCTCTGCAGCCTGGGCTGAGCAGGAGCTGCACACAAGGAACAGCAATATCTCAAGAGACAACTGAACTGAGCCTGGAAGCTCACCTCCCCAAGAATACAGCATATTTCACAGCAAGCATGCACCCAGAGCAAGGTCTCCAGCACACAAACCCTCTGTCCATCACTGCACACTAACTCACCAGCATCCTGTGGGCAAACCCTCCCCAGAGCAACAACTGCTCTGCAGCATTCGGCCTCTTGGTGGCTGCAGAAATGCTTTGGTGCTTCAACAACACCTCCTTGGCCACAAGTTCCAACTACAGAATCACACAGAACCTCACAGAACCAGAGCTATCTACCAAAGCAACTAACAAACATTTTCAGAGGCATTTACAACCTTCCCTCCAGGAGGCCTGAACTGCTCATTACACTCAAACCATCCATCTGTTCCCAAAATATTCCTCACACCTTCAGCTGGCACCACTGACTGAACAATTAGTGCTACAACTTTCACTAGACCAACTTGCTCAAAGCCCCAGCCAACCTGACCTGGAACACTTACAGAGATGGGGCATCCCAGCTGGCATCGCAAGGCACAAGTTTCCTAGCAGCCCTGTGCCACATATGCCAGCCCCTTGATGAGGATGTTCTGGGCTCCCCAGATGGCTCTAGACACCAAAGTTTGCTGTTCTCAGCATTTCAGTTAATCTCCTCAGCATCCACCAATCACTGAGATCATTTAGGAACAAAATGCTGAACAGCAGAGGCCCAGGGCAGGACTGCCTTCCCTGGACCATGGAAACCAGACCCTCACTAGTATCTCATTTCCCACCTTCCAAACAGCCATTTCTTTCACAGTTTCCCTCTTACATCCACAGCTGCCCAGATTTGGGGGTGCGAGAGAGGGTGAAAAAGGAACATCTTTGTTTCAAAGACCCTATTGTAGGTCCTCTTGAAATCCAGGTGAACAGTATCAGTTTTCACCTTTTTCTAGATACTGCTGACAGAACAAAAAAAGCCACACTGAACCCATATTGTAGTTCAAACTCCACTGCTATTCTGACTTCAAAAAACCCCACTTGACTGCAGAAGTTTGTGGGATTGCAACACAACAGCCAAAGCAATCTTCAAAACCAGCAGCACCACCTCCATTAGTCTGCATAGAAAGCAAGAGTGAGGCATGGAAGCACAGTTCAAGGAAAAGGAGCACACTGGGGAAAAAGGTTGGTGGGACATGAGGGAAAGAAAAGAGCCAGCAAGAAAGTGCATGTCAGCTGGCTAAAGGAGAAGCAAGATTCCTCTCTTTGTGTGCCACAGGCGATCTCTACCACTTTCAATTCAGTATTTAGCTGGTTTCATCCCAATTAGACTTTTATTCATATTTAGGGCTTCAAAGCAAATTACACCCAATGTTCACCATCTCCTTCTCTCTGCCAAACATCACTGGTGAACCACTGACCCGTGCTCTCTCCTCCTTTTTACATGCCTTTTATTGAGGGGACTTTTTCAGCCAAGACAATCCCTGCAAAAGGTGCAACAGGAGTCTGGGAAGGTGGTGGAAACTTCATCCTCAAAGATCCTGGAAACTACATCAGACAAGACTCTGAGCAGGCTTGCTCTAAAGGAAGCTGGACCAGACATCCTATGGAATTCCCTTCCAATTTGAATTATTTGATGATTGTGTAACATTTATTGCCGTAAGATTCTGTACCAGAGCAGTGTGCACACAGAGCCCTAGTGACAAAGACAGACAATCCCCTACAGCCTCCAGTGCTCTCATGCATCTGTCATTTCCTAAGAAAAGCATCTGCAAGATACTTCACCCGTTCTCTTCCTGTTTGAGAAGTTTCATATTTCCAGAACATTACTATAACCTTGGATATCAACAAACAACCCAAAATGAAAAAATTTGCTGACTCTGTGTGAAAAGAATTCTTATCAGACTTCATTTTCCTTCCTTCCTTTGCCCTGCCGGATGGGGGCCCGCTCACACTCCCACATGATGCACACTCAGACACAGTTTTCCAGCAGGCTGAAGACATCATATCAGTAATTCAACATTCCAGTGCAGTCACGCTGCTCTTGGCTTTGCTGTGCTAAGTGCTTCTGACAAGGAAGACACTGAAACCCACCACCAAAAGAAACAAACTGGTGTCCATGTAGAAACATAAGGAATCATTATGGGGTTGACCCTAAACATTAAACCCTAAAAATATTAGGGTTTTTTAATCTGTTTCCAGGCAGTTTTCCCACACAATTATTACCCCCACAAGTTCTAAAGGATTAAACAACTTCTCACCCTAACTATCTACTGCCAGAGAGCAAGCCCAGTTACTTTCAAATTTTTATTGACCTGCTCCTGGTTTGCTGGATGCAGCAATTATGTTTGTCTCTATTCTCACCCAGCTTCCCTGCACCCCGCCCCCATTTCTGCAATCACTGCTTTTGTATCACATAAATGGTTGACCAAACTCATTGCAGTAAGTTACAGCTGTTCAGAGAGGATTTCTGAACACAAAATGTGACAGGTCTCAGTAGATGGACTGAACAATGCTGTCAAATGTCCTCTACTCTGGAAGCTGCTCAAAACAAATGACAAGAAGTCACATCAGGAGGAGTCTGAGCTAATGAAGCTGCCACGTGTCCCATCAAGCAATAGCTGGATGCTGTAGTTCCTGCAACACAAACACCCTCCCCTCCCTGCGGCCGAAGATCAACACCACGCCTTTACTCCATGGACCTTCCTGGAACAAGGGCCGTGCTCCCTTCCAGCCCTTCAGACGTCCCCATGAACAGCACACTGCCGGCAAGCACGGCCCCACCTTCGCCCCGCGAGGCCGTGACAGCAGCGCAGCCGGAGGCTGTGCCCGTGCCCCGAGCTCTGGGGCTCCCTGACCTCGCCAGCAGCGCCCGGACTGCAGGAGCCCAGCGCAGGGCACCGGGAGCGGCCCACGGGGAGTCACGCCCTGGCAAACTCCTTCACCAAACAAGACTTTGCTGCCTCCCTGTACCCGAGGCAGGGGAAGAGCCCAGCTGCAGCTCGGAGCCCCGTCCCTGCAGCAGCCTCACCTCTGGGCGCCCAGCGCCTTGATCACCGTGGAGAGGAGCCGCCCGTCCTTGGCCGTGACCTGCGTGATGTACTGCGGGCGCCCGATGTCCGACTCCTCCACCGACTTGGAGAGGGCAGTGCTTCCCGGACAGTCGCACAGGGAGCCGGGGAGGTGGCAGCAGTCGCCTGTCGTCATGGCAGCTCTGGGCCCCTCTGTCCCGGGCCCGGCACCCGGGAGACCTGCAGGAACAGCACCACAGTCAGAAGCCAGAACCCCCAACCCCTCAGGATCCTCCAGCCCCATTCACGCTAGGAGCACCCCAGGGCCCCAACACACACGCGTTTTGTGAGGCTTCTGTCCCCTTTAATAGGCTTTGTGAGGCTGCCTTACCATAAAATTAAGGCTCCAAGTGTTCTACTTACATAACTTACCATCAGAATTGCAAATCTGCCTTTCCCAGAGAGAATTCCTGGGAACCACCCTTTAACCTGATGAAGGCTTTCAAATTGAATGTGCTGATACAGAGATACAGAGATACAGAAGAAGCCCCACGGGCTGTTCTGGCTAGAGCCATCCTGAAAACTTACATTCATACTCTCTATAAATACAGCAAAGTTTCACCTGAACAGGGCACCTAACCCCGTTTATGTGGCTGGGTTCAGGAGGCCCTTCTCAGCTGCCTTCAGAAGCTTTCTGAGCACTTGAAAGACTGTCCAAGCCCAAAAGGCTCTCCCATCCCATCTTAGATGTTTTTGCTCTTTATTTCATAAATGTATAAATGTATATTTCATGTATAAAGAAATACACATGCTTCCATTTCTATATCTGCTGTGGTACATCCCAACAGCGAATGTGTGGATGTCAACAACCCAAAAGCACCAAAAATCCTCCTTGGGAAGGGCAGCAGACCAGCCTGACTCCTTTCCCTTTCAACTGTTCAGACCAATCATGACTTTTACAAGAGCCACTTGCAAGCAGCACATTTTCAACATTCACCCAGCAAAGAGAAGACACAGAACAAACAGCAAATGCAAGAAATGGAGAGAAGATGCCCAACATGGCAAACCAGGAGCTGGCTCTGATGAGCCACGTGTGGACAGGAGAACTCTCTGCCTTTGAGGTAAGGCAGCAGCAGCTCACCCAAGCTGCCAGAAACAGCCATGCTCCTCCCTGGCAGAGGGTATCTCATCCCCCAAATTTGGTATGCTCTGCAGATTTAGAAAAATCCTATTTTTGCCAATTGCCTTTAACCTGGTCCCCGAGAGGCAGCTGTGCAGAAATAAAGAGCTGAGGTTACAGTGAGTCACACTGAACACAATCCAACAACATTGTACTGCTGGTAAAACCAAAATCCCTGTGTCTGTAAACAGGACTGCCTTATGTAAGGCACGCACAGTAATCCCTGTGCGCCAGCACTGCTGGGATCAGAGCTGGAATGCTGCCTCATCCTGGTGGCTGGATTTCAAGATGAAATAAATCCACAAAAGAAGTTCAAATGAAAGCAATAAAAAGGAAAAAAAGGGGAGGAATAAACGGAAATAGAACAACCACAACCCTAAATAAGACATATGAAAGCAAATTAGGTTTGTTAAATTTTGGGGGAGTGGGGGGAATTGGCAATCTTTGCCTCCTGGAGGTAGGAGCAGGCAATTCACCATCCCATCCAAGGAAAGGTTTTTGTTTTGAGATCTCTGAGCACAACGGGAGTCAAACATTCTCATGAAACTGCAGTTCTCTCAGGTTCAACTAAGCCAAAATCTAACAAAAATAACTATAGAAAATAAGGGTTTGTTCCTGGTTGGAGGCTTGGCCACACTACAGAGGAAAAAAATCAAAAAAGCCAGTATAAGAACACGATCCTTGAAGCCCTGAAAACACTGATTTGGGTAAGCACAAGTGCTTTTTCATGTCTTGGAAATTAAGCAACTCACACAACCAAGGGCTTCATCTGTCAGGATAGTTTCCTTCATGTACATATGTTCAAGAGGGAGAGAGCCTTTCACTGGTGTCTCAGAACCAGATGCCAACTTCGGAAGCATTCCCTCACTTTACAGAATAGTTTCTAATTTCTAATAGAAGACTTTCTAGTCTCTTTTTCAAAGCTGCTCTTCATAACTATCTGTAATCCTTCCTTCGCATCTGAGCAGGAATACGCTTGAGCTTGTGGGCAGGTCAATCTTCTTCAACATGAATGTGAATCTTTTCATCAACTTAAAAATTAACTTGATAGACTCAGCCTCTCTCTCCACCTGTGCAAAGAACACACAGAGTCAAATCTACTTTTCTCATCTCTCCTCCTCAAAAAAAGGCTACAAACTCTCCAACTGCAAGGAGCAAAAAGTAAGATGATAAATGCTATTAGAATTACTTAAGTCAGCTGTTCTGCAAGTTAAGGAGTCCTTTAAAATTAACAACCTCTTACTGAAACAAGCATGAGAAGATATATGCTTTTAATAAAAAGGTCAGTTCCATTTGTTTGGCCAAAATGTTGTTTATTTTAAAGTTCAGAGGAAAAAGTCCATTCTGCATACTGGAATAAAACTGCCCTCACTGACTGTGTCCTGGGAGTATTTATACTGAGGCTCTTTGTGCTCCACATCTGACAGACACAGGCAGCCCCATGGCCTTGCCCCAGGGCCCTGCTGGGGCTGGAAGGGAATGGCCACCCTGCTGTTCTTCAGGAAATGCACAGGTTTCTGTTACCAGTTATTTGGTGTTTCCTTGGCAGGGTCCAGCCCAGGGTGGAACCTGAAGTCACTGCTTTAATATCTGACTCATGCCATTCAGCAAATACGAAGGAAAAGCAGCAAGGTTTTCATGGTTAGCAAGGAAGTAATTGAAATCCAAAGACAACATCTGCAGTGCACTCGGGTCCCAGTCCCATACCCAGTGGAACATGAATCATGGTGTACAGCCAAGTCAGTCCCTCTCCAGATCCCTGACGGATCAGCTCATCAACACACAGCCTTCTCTCACAATTGTCAACAGCTCACCAACCAAACTCAGCGTTCACAGAATCATTCAGGTTGGAAACAGCCTGAACTAGAAATCATCTAGTCAAACTGCTCTCCCAGCACTGCCAAGCCCACCACAAACCCCTGTCCCCAAGCGCCACATCCACAGTTTTTGAATCCCTGCAGGGATGGTGACTCCACCACTGCCCTGGGCAGCCTGTGCCAGTGCCTGACCACCTGTTCCATGAAGGAATTTTTTCAGCCTAAACCTCCCCAGTACGATTTGAGGTTGTTTCCTCTCTTCTGGTCACTTATTTCCTGGGAGAAGTGACTGACCCCCACCTGGCTGAACTCTCCTTTCAGGGAGTTTTAGTGAGCAAGAAGGTCCCCACTGAACTTCCTTTTCTGAACAGCCAGCTCCCTCAGCCACTCATCATCAGATTGGTGCTCCAGCCCGTTCCCTAGCTCTGTTTACAGCAGAAACATCAAAATCCCAGTGTGAGAAACAAGACCCAAACAGCTGGTTTGAACCACACACAGTTTTTTTTCTAAGCACCTGTGTTTTCTGAGCCCATTCCTTGGGGATACATTTTTTTGTACACATTTTTTTAAAAAGTCTCAGAGACACTAGTTTTATTATCAACGTCCCCTCTGCTGCCATAGTTAGACATTAGCAAATAAATGGAAAGGCTCTTCTCAGCAACATTTTGCATCCTCAGCTTCTGAGCAGATCCAGAACATAAAGGGCTGAGTTTATAGATAATTACTCAAACTGAAAAAAAAAACCAAACCCTGTCTGTGGAAAGCTGTCACAGAAGAGTGAATTCTGCACTAGAATTCCAAAACTCTAACACGTGCAGCAAACTGTGCCAGCTCCTTGAAGAGCAGCTTGTGCTCTGTCACTGCTCCAAGGCAGAGACCAGGCTGCTGGTGCAGGATCCTGCTCCACAGCTTAAGTGAAACACCCTTGCAAGATACTCTTCCTTGTCAGTGCTCATGCACTGCAATGAGATATGTAATCCAGTCTATATCATCCAAGGAGCAATGAATTGGGCAAAACCCCCTCAAAAGACTGCAGAGATCAGGTTGGACCAGTGCTCTCCATGCAGGAGATGTGCCCAGCAGAAGTAAGCAGGAGTCAAGGAGCTAAAAGGTCCCCCAGCTCTACTCTCCATATTTGGACTTTGAAGATGGACAAAACAGTTATTTCTCCCAGACAAGGAAACCACAGCATGCCAGATGAACATCTGGATCAAAGCCACAACAAGAAAAGCACAGTCAAGATGAGAATGCCAACAGGAAAGGCTTCAGCCAAATCATGGCAGTAATGGGGACCGTCAGGTGCAGGTCGTGGCTCTGCCATGCTGCTCGTGGCCCGTCCTCTAATGAACATCCCAACCAGTCTAAAGCCTTGGAGCAATCCTGTGGCTTTGCTAGGATCCAGAGCAAACTGGAACCAGAGCCAGCTCCACCTGCTTTGGGTGCAGCATGTATGCACCAACTCCTGAACAGACTGGCTGCCCTGGGACATCTGCACCAAAGAACACCCAACATGAGAGGCTGCCAGCGGCCGGCTCTGCTCCTCTCACTGAGCAACCCATTCCCTGCTTACTGGAACGGAGACCAGCACCTCTGTGATACCCATGGTATCACAGAGATAACAAAGTCGTGTAGCCAACACAACCTGCCCATCTGTGTACAAGGACTTTTTTTTATTTTTAGCAGGTAACCCATTCACTGAGGGCAAATCAGAGCTCCGACCCCTGCTCACGTGAGCTGACGTTTAAGCCCGGGTGCAAAGCTTCCCAGCCTGCTTTCCAAAGCCCTTTTAGCCACTTTGGGCACACAGACACTGAGTTTGCTAATCATATGATCCTGCAAATGTCACCAGTGAACTGAAGGTTTTCAGTTGCTAAAGGGCATTTCCTAACATCAGTGCTTTCCTTTTCACCACTAAAACTGGATTTCCCAAATCCTGGGCCCTACAACCACCTGAACATCTCTCTCCATCTCGAGGGAGACCACACAAAGAATTGTTTGCTGCACACATCTAAGCACCTGCTCTCACACACCCCATCTCATACAGCTAATGCACATCTCCTCACAGCCCAGGTTCAATCCCAGGTGTGCAGCACATCCTCCAGCACCAGTTCTGCCTACGAAAGCACCAGCATCACCAGTGCACCTGTAGCCTCTCTGCCTTTCTGCTCTGGGTTAGTGGCACAGTATCACCTTCTCCACATCTGGCCTCTACACCCTCACCCAAGAGATCACACACCTAAGACACTGCCACCAGAGATACACACAGATGGGATGAGTGGCCTGAAGTGCTCCCTGCTACTGTCAAAAGGTTGTATAAGTGGATTAATCTAAAGAAAAACAAAACAAACAAAACTGAACCAAACAAACAACAAAAAACCAAAATTAAACCAAAAAAAAACACCAAACTAACCTCCCCCCCCACAAGGACCAATCCCACACTGGCCTTTGTTTTCAGTTTTGTTTGTTGAAATGTACTTTCTGCTGAGGGCTGAAAGCCACACTATTCTTTTGTTCTTTATTAAAAATACACCATTTTATACATCAACTGACTCCCCAAAGTTACCCCGCACGTCTGCTATGTAACACCTTAAAAGTACCCAAAAAGCCAGCTCAGGAGCTGCCTCCAGTTGACCCATCAGCAACTCTTCCAGTTGCTCAGGGCCTGGGAAGGAATCTTATTATCCTGTGCTCACAAGTCACCTGAATACAGCAGCCCTAAAGTCAGGGTGCAAGGAGCCCTGTCCAGTGAGAAAAGCAACACAGCATTTTATGGCATATGCCTCAACATTCAATAAAAGATCTGATGCCATGCAACAGCTTCCAAAACATTTTAAAATTTGGTAAATAACACAAGGGAAAGCATTTCACTCCCCAGGAGCTTCTCTATTTGTCCCCTGCCTGCAACATTTGGTCGGCAGTTTCAATTCAAGGAGATGCTGTTAAAACTTCAGCCATAACTTGCTCTTCAGAGGATGCCAGTGGAGCAATGCTGTGAGTCAGAGCCAGGGGACAGCCCTGACCCTGGGCTCAAAACAAATCCCAAAAAGCAAGGAAAAAAATAACCAAGGCAAAACGTTCTGTGAGCTTGAGAACCTCCTGATAAAACTTCACACAAGGAAACTCCTCCTACATCTGGAACAGCAAAAGCTTTGGGCTGACCCCAGAGGCTCACCTGCCTCATCCTTGGGGCAGAGTTTAAAAAGAAATGCTCCAAGTTTAACCTTGTAACACCCAGGAGGAAGTCAGAAGCTTAGAGGACCCAGCCTTCCTGGACTCCGGTGTTTGTCACATTTGTACATGACCACAGCTGGACTTGGCTGGGCTGCCTCTCCACTATTTCAAACACACAGCTCAGCAGCAGTCAGTGGTAACTTAAGGCTTCACTCACTGGCTGCTGCTGGGGACAAACAATCATAACTTCTCTATACCCAGAAACTATTTAGACATATTCTAGAAGCTCTCTGAAATCTTGATTATTTAGATTATGGCAAATGGGTTTGCAGACACAGATGAAGAGATAGTCTGTCACTTCCATTTTTTCCAAGAAGACACATTGCCAGCATCTGAGTTCTATTCCCCACTGGTAGCAATATACTGCAGCAAGCCTTGGTGATCAATAATTGCTGTTTTCCAAAGCCAACATCCACACACATCCCTCTTCTTCAAAACTTCATTACATTGGATCAACACCTGCAGTAGTTTCATTTCATCTCCATGTCTTGAAGCAATGGAAAACTATTGGCTGGCAAAAATGAAGCTCCTGAGGCACAGCTCCTGTGGGTCTTGGCAGGGCTCCCAGCAGGTGAGAACCCCAACTTTTAAACAAGGGGTCTCATGGACACAGCAGAACTGTGACACAGCAGAGCTCCCTTCATTTCAGGGTACCTGTCATGTCGTTCACCCACTGTTTTTCAAACAAGTTGTCTTCATTGCCTAATAAAGTTACTCAGTATTCAAAAAGAAACAAAAAGTTCAAGCTTAGATGTTGAGAAAAAAAAAATCAGTATAAAAAGAAGAAGCCTAAAGGACAATTTTTTTCTTGCTGTGCTTGGGAACAATTAGCCTGTATGTTATAGCTAGAATGCCAAAATGAACAAAGTTATCTCAGCTCTTTTGAGATTTGCTATCTGCCACAAGGCTGTATGAAAGGAAAGTTTACTGCACTTTAATTACCAACATCTGGAAAAACAAACTGCAACATTAGAAGAAAATTCTTTGCAGAGGGTATCTCCAATCAAAATTCAGTCATTTTACTAACAAGTTTCATAAGGGAACAACCAAAAACCAGCTGGAGCATGAGGAACACCTGTGACTCCTCTGAGGATTCAAAAGACATCAGCTTTTAAAGATGAACAGCAGGACAACTCACTACATAACGCAACTACAGAGTCTCTACACCCGCCTCCCTCTGCGTTTTATCACTCTTTCCAGGGAAAGAAAGATAAGAAAGATGCATTAGAAAGACTTGAAACTGAAACCACAAACCAGAGTGGAAAAAAATTATCATGCCTACAAAACAATTCTTGCAGAGTACTGTCCATCACTGGGGACAACAGCCAGCCCATCAGACACAAGCACAGCCCTGCCCTGCTGAAGAGACCACAGCCATGTGGCCTCTCACATCTCTCTGCACCCACGTGCTTTACAAAACACCAGCAGCAGACACTTCTGCTTCGCAGCTCTACTGCTTCAGCGAGCTCCTCTTTACAGAGAGGCAGCCTCTGCAGCAAGGTCAAAGCTCAAGTGTTCCCCGGTTCTGCACAGTCACTTGCCAGGCAGCTGCAGTTTGTTCAGAACAAATAGATTTTCCAGCTGTGCCTAATACCTCAGGAAGCAGAACTTTAGAGTAGCAGTGAGCACACTAAAGTGTAGAACCAGATCACCGCAGCACCCACACACCACAGAACTGGTCAGTCCCTCGAAGGGCACGGCTCCGGAGGATGCAGCACATTATTTCAGGATTGGGAAGCCCAGGTCAGAAAGAACTCACATTCTCCCCAGCGTTTATAAAGCAGCATTTACACTGCTATACAAATAAGAGCACTCTGCTTGGAGATGAAGTGAGCTGGAACAAGCCACCAGCAAAGCCCGCCGCAGCACTGCTTGCCCCGACTGCTCAGAGCAGCGCGGCCGGTGCGCAACCGCTGCACGAAACCAGGCAGCACACAGCTCCCGGGAGACATCTGATCTGGAATTGAACTTCACTATTTATATTTTCCAACCTAGCCATATCACAAATCTCTTCAGAACGTTCAGCTTTCAAAGAGCTTTCCAGCAAAGGCAGCACCACAGGCAGCCTGTGACTCACCACCCAGCTCTGGAGAGCTCCAGAGCAGACGCACACTGAGAGCATCCCCACGGGCAGCCAGAGAGGAGTCACTGATCCCATCCAGTGCCTCCCTTCTGCCCACTCCTTACTGCCACAGATTCCCTCCTCAATCCTCAAGTGAAACTTCATAATTGGTATCTCTGCTGCAAAACTGTCTCAGTTCAGTTTGCCATGTTTTGCTTAGGCTGCATTTCTAGTTCTTCTGGACACAGGCCTTGTCTGATTTGTCTGCAGGGAAGTACAAGAAAAACTGTGAGGAAATAAATTGAAAACAGTCCAGAATTGAAGTTTACCTTTCCTCTCTCACCAGTCTCAAATCTAATCCCAAAAAGCTTTCAGCTGAAACAGAACTAAAGCTCTCAAAGCTTCAAACAAAGAAATCCCTGTTCAAGCCAAGACTACATGAGCTTGGTGCATTCTCCTTTTCACAGAAAAGTGCTTTAGAAGGTAAGTTTGATTTGTTTGCACTTTTATTTCCTGAGCCAGTGCTGCTCCCTGTCCTGTTTCCTCTTTTTAGGAACTGGAGGAGAATGTTTCCTTCAGCTTTGATGGCTAATTTTGTGACAACTGATTAAAATTGCAACAACACTTAAAGCATTTCTGTCCTTGTGGTTAACCACACACAATCATCTCAGGTTTTATCAGGAACTGAAAGTTTAGTTAGAATTGGTACATAAAATCTGGAATAAAACTTACAGAGGCTTATTTATTTGAAATGGGGGCAAATGACAGATTCCAAACTGTAACACTATTTGTTCTACAGAGGCCTGGGGCAGGAAAGGTATTTGCAAGGCAGATGGGTAGAAAGAGCTGCAGGTCAGTACAGCTCCTGTTGGGCTGCTCCCTTCACTGGAGGATGCACAGGGTTCAGTCCCTGCCTCAGGACATGCCAGCAGTCCGTGCTTTCAGGATTTTGTCATTCTGCATTTTACCTTGAGTGTTTAGGGCTTTCACAGGCTGCAACTGCACAGTAGGAGAGGCACATTCCACCCCAGGAAAGGCACACAAGACCCTGAGACACTCAGTAGTGATTTCCCTGCTTTCACCCAGCAAGATGAGCCACCAAAAGCTCTCCCAGCTGCAGTGGGGAACCCCACCTCCCAGCTGAGTTGCATTGCTGTTGCAATGAGCTACAGCTGAGCTGGTCTACTTACAACAAAGATGGCACAGACACAGGTTCCAGGGAACAGTTGCTACAGTTGGAGCTGGAGAGAGAACAAGACCAAGACTGGAGAGGTGGAGATCCTGCTGTTTACACGCATGGCATGAACTGTGCTGATAAGCCATGAATTTGATAAGCCACACTTGATAAGCCTCAGCACAGATTAATGCGTCATTTTAGCACCCGAGAAAGCTGACGTACAGGCTTCATGCAGAGCCACATGCCAACCCTGGCTTGGTGCTGTGCTCATTTCCTTCACTGAGAAGCGCCCCAGGGCTCAGTTTACCTCATGGCTTGTGTGCCCAGGTGTCACTCACTGAGACATACCCAGAGTGCTTCCAAGAGGACAAGAGTCAGTAACCGAGACCATTTCTCTACTGTGGGAAAGGCTGGAGCTAAGAGCAAGAAGAAGCATAAGTTAGCCACAGTAAATTAGACTGGGAGGGGGAAGAGACACACCACCTCAAACTTCAGTCTGGAATGGGAAAAAAAACCTAGTTTGGAAAGAGAACTCTGAAATCTCCAAATATCCAAAGCGGAGTCAAAGTCAAGTGGAGAAAAAAATAAACTCGTCCTGTAGTTTATAGTTCACAATGCTGGATTTCTCCCTTCATTTTCTAAGAAAAGCTTCTGTGTTCTTAGTGTGAAAAACCAAGATATTTTAAACAATAGTAAAACAAGTCCCCAAATGCCCATTTTGCTTTGTGCCTCTACCTGCAGAACTACAACAAAGTCCTGTCCTGAGGACTTGCAACTGTCCCTCAGACTCACAGAGTCTCAGAGTCCATACCCAGGCTCAGCTTGCCATGGATGCATTTTGATTCACTTTGGTCACGCTGTTTCAAGAAAACAGTGCTTACTTCCTCCCAGGGAAACATCGTGTGCTACACTTGCTTGATGCAGGCCAGCATCAACCAGCTGGAAGAGGAAAAGCCCCCTCCCAGCACCCACAAAGGAAAGAACTCTGTTGGAAGCTGCTCAGTGCACTGCAGTTCTGCTCATCTGCATGGGCCCCTTGGCGTCCAGCACAGCGTGACCTCACCCTGCAGCCTCAGTGCAATCCACAGCAAAAAGAGCAAACACATCCAAAACAAGGAACATTAATTCCAATGCCATTTTCTGTTTCCACTTAGAAAGTGGTGCTGATCAGCTAACCACACACAGACACCCCCAGCTATATAGCTGGTATAGAGTGTCCGTGAACTACGCTTTAGGTTCACACCTGGCCATTCCCTGTGCCAAGACCTGCTCTGCTCTTGGCAAAGTTTAGACTTCCCTACAGATGCAGGCTGCCTGCAATGCTCCCCCAGTGTGTGCTTGGAGGGAATTAGACCTTCTGTCCCCAGCTGGAATTATTAAATTCACTGTCACGGTGCATGTGACAAAGGGATTTTAGAGTCCCAGCTCCCTTCCCTTTTGAGTCTCTGTTTCTGATGGGTGACACACCATCACAACTTCAAACACACCTGAAAAACCGGGGCACTTCCAGCCTCCAAACACTCCCCTGCATAATCCTTTGGAGATGCAGAAAAGTGTTCAAACACTTTAGCTTTGGCAAGCCAAGACTAACGCCCAGCTGTTCAAAGGATTGTACTGTGCACGTGTGAGTGGCAGCCAAGCAGGGTTTTATATCCACTCGAGCTGGACCAGCCACAGCCAATGCAGCTGGCTGACCACAGTGACATCACAGGCATTCTCAACAACAACCTGGAAAAAGGTCAAGAAAGTGCTAGAAACTGCATCAGAAGAGAAAGACACAGAGATAAATGCTTGTTGGAAGGAGATTCAAACAAGAGAATGAGAGTGCCAAGGAAAATGAAGGGCTGGTAATAGAGAGGGTTAAGAGAGGGACACAAACAGTCCCATAGGGATGAGCAAATAAAGGGCACAGGGTGGCATGAGAACCACATCTCCACTGACAGATCTCCATCACACACATCAGGGCAGGGACAGAACACTGAATACAAACAAACAGAATAAAAAGCCAGAGCTGCTTTGGATAACCCTGACACTTCCAGCTCACCATCATCATCCCCAACATGTAACACCTCAGCTGCCTGCAAAATTCGAGCTCTGCACAGCTCCCTCCAACAGGACAACAGCCTAAACTCTCCTTGGTCCAGCAGCACCACGCAGTGCAGGTGTATCACCCCTCACCTTGGTGGCACCATTTCTGAGGGCACTACATGCAAGCAACTGCAAACTCCAGAAGCCTCCAAGACCACTGCATGGTGTTTTGGTTTGATCTAGAACAAAACACCAGATCCAGAACACACAACAAGAGCAAGTGTTTGAGACTGCAACAAAAACACCTCCCATGTCACAATCACCTTCCTGTACACGAGCCACAGACTTGTCCTTTGGATAAATCCCACAAACCAGCAGTTCTGGCCTGTCACAGTTGGCTCAAGAAACCTGAGTTTAAATGAGACAGAAAGTTAAAGACTGCTAGTTTATGAAAAGTCCATCACAAACCCTAAGCTTACACCACGGAGGAAAGCAGCTGCTGCTCCAGCACAGGACTGCATCAGTCTCTTCAGCTGTGCTGTGACACCGAGCTCATTCTCTTGGGAAATCTCTGCACACGAGGCAGCGTGTCCGTGTGCTCAGAAGGCAAAACGGGCACCAGAACGCTCCCAAACCTGTGAAAAAACAGGTATGGGAGCCCAGTGGTAAAGGAAACTTTTCCTAATAACTGCTTATACCCAGGGAAGAAGAATCTAATGAACAAAACACCGCTTCTCAAACCTCCGCCACTTCTGTCCCTGGTGATGTTTGTGAGCGACAGCCCCGGCGTTCCCGGGGGCCGGCGCCGTGCCAGCCCAGCCCGGCCCGGCCCGGCCCGGCCCAGCCCGGCCGGGAAGGGCCGCGGCTCAGGCGCGGGGCCCCGCACGGCGACCACAGCGCAGTCCGTACCGGCGGCAGCGTCTCGCACGGGGCCCGTGCGGGCAGCGGGGCCGGCGGCAGCCGCTCCGGGGGAGAGGCCCCGAGACCTGCAGCGCGGCTCCGGCTCCCAAGCACAAGCGGCGCCGCACACCGGGGACACCCCTCGGCGGGGCCACCGGGAGGGCTGTCAGGGCTCCCGGGCCCGCCCGCCTCGGCCCGGCCCGGCCGGGACGCCGCTCCCGCCGCCGCAGCCCCGCGCCGCAGCGCTGCCGCCCCAGCGCCCGCCCGCCAATCCCCGCCCGCACAGCGCTGACGCAGCTCCCGAGCGCCCAATGGACTGCGCGTAACCCGCCAGCGTCGCAACGCGACCCCGCTGGCAACAGCCGGCGGCCAATAGCGGCCCTGCGGTCAAGCCCCGCCCTTCCCCGGCCCCGCCCCCGACACCCGGGCCCCTCCCTTCCCCTCTTGCTCCGCCCCCAGCCCTGGTCCCGCCCCCGCGCTGTTCCCGCCCCCAGTCCCGGGAGGGCTCGGCCAGCGGGACAGAGGGACAGCGGGACAAAGGGACAATGGGACAGAGGGACAATGGGACACTGGGACTGAGGGACAGCGGGACAGAGGGACAATGGGACAGCGGGACAATGGGACTGAGGGACAGCGGGACACTGGGACAGAGGGACAGTGGGACTGAGGGACAATGGGACAGAGGGACAATGGGACAGAGGGACTGAGGGACCCCACCCAAGAGGGACAGCGGGACCCCACCCAACGCGGCACCTGCGGCAGTGCAAAAGCCCCGGGGCAGCGGGCAGCCCGGCTTGCCGCTCCCGGGGGCGCTGGCAGGGGCACGCATCCCCGCCCCACTCCGTGCTCTGGCTCGGGAGCCCCCCCACCTCAT